CACTAAGGTCTTGAAGGCCACCATGGTGTTGTTCTGCACCGGCTGCTCTTGCAGTCGCTGGAGAACCCACCTGTAAGAGACAACCCGCCATGACGATGCGGCAGCCGTACAAGGCCCTCACCTGGTGTCCTTGGAGTCGTAGACCTTCGGAAGGGCAAACATGCAGTGTCAAGCTGCCTATCTGGTGCTGCACCAGCAACGGAACGCCGTGGAACGCCGCAGGTCGAATCGCTTTGGGCTGAAGTGCTCATCTCAGCTTTCATACTTGGGAACATGGTGTACACCCTGAAAGCCTGAATCACGAAAACTTGAAACCCAAGAAGGTCTGAACAGCAACTTACAGCACAGGTAAGCCCAAACCGGGGCTCCAAATTTGAGCCCCTTTCTCCGGCCTCCGCCAGGAGTCGCTTCAGATCTTCAGAGCGAAGCACCTCGCTCCGGGCATCCGTCGCCTCGCGACTAAACTGACGTCTGTATTGGAGTTCTTGTTGTGTGTATCTATTTAAATTTGTTTTGGGGTCTACCAGTAACAGTACAACAAAATAAATCCTTATATACTGCATCATGGCATGAGGAACAGGAAGGAGGTTTAATGTTCCTTAACGCGTGTTCAGTGCTTCAGGGCTTTTCGTGTTTAGGCTTGAGGCCCGAATGCGGGAACAGCAACGGCCACATCAACGCCCGGAAGCGCTATGTCTGGCCTTGAGAACCAACCGAGAGCGGTTCTTCTCGCGGACATTCACGCCGAGCGTGCACCTGGAATGAGCTACTGCCATCTTCAACTGTTCATTGCTCATTCGAAGCCATAAGCCTCTACTTGCAATGCGAACAGACGTGAGAGGGTGCACGAGACGTCTTCGCCTTCAGGCAATGTCTTTATCCACTTCCTAGCCTGATGTGGACGGCGGCGCGAGAAGCTAAAACATCTGCCTATGCACTTACTCCTGTCTGTCTGCGCAAGTCTCACTCAGAAGATCGGCACCTCATTCGGTCCCGAAATCCGCTGAACGCCTCAAGGAGCGAGTGTGTCAACTGCAGCTACAGCTTGTTGAAGCGCTGCAGAAGCTCTGACGGCCGCAAGGCCCACTGCTCGCAGAAGCTGTCCAAAGCACGGAAGCGCTTCGAGGTGCAGACAGAACTGCCGCCCCTGGGCTCACAGAAAGCACAGCAAACAGGGCTGCAGTGCCCTCTCGAGTGGTCGACTTGAGTCGAGTGCGAAACGTTTGAGAACAGATGATAAGATACCGAGTGAGTCGCCGAGGCCCGGATTGTGGTGTTTTGCTTTGCGTGCGCATGTTTCAACTTCCGCTCCGACCGAGCCAGCACAACAACACTTTGCTCCCTTCTTCGCTTCTGCAGATGGCACTTCCACGGGCTTGCGCCGAATTTACTGAGAGCAACGTCAGTCTTGGTGTTTCAGACTGCCTCTTTGTGCTGCATGTTTAGAAAATCGCCGCAGGATGCTTCTCACTGTCTGCGATGCTGGGCCTGAAAAGCAAAGCAGATGCGCGTTACCCGGCCACGCTCACAAACCCATCATCTGCTCCTGAACATGTCTGCGTGCACGGCCGGCCGCAACTCATGTCAGCGACATGTTCTACGTAAGATGACACCGCCAAATTCAGAAGGCATTTGCACCACCGACCGAGAGTGCCACTGGCCAACCACGAGTGGCTGCGCCCATGCTGGAGCCTGAAGTAGGCCAACTCTTTGGGCAGTCGGTTGTGTCGAGCAGCGTCCCATAGCGTCCCGTGTTCATGAGTCTACAGACAAGGTTTCACAAGGTGCGATGTGTAAAGCAGTGTCGAACGCATTCATGTTTTCCGAGTGAGTGTGTGTGTGTGTGTTCGTCCTGGCAATCACGGCAACGCATGGCCTGCGGATCAGCACCGCCAGCCTGGACAGGACAGTAGGCTCCGGCCACGCGGAGGGCGAGAAAACCGCTTTCCGCGCCTGTGTGGATGAAGCTCGTCGGCTTTCGGGCCTCCAGTTGCCACACCCCTCACAGTCCTTAACGCTTGTGAATTCCGGGATCTCCCCGACGTGGCAACTTGTGAATCTGCCTTATCAGAACAGAGGTCCACTGCTCCAGTGACTCTGGTAGGACAGTCATGCACCAGCGCCTCGCTGCAGCGAACGAAGCCTGGAAGTGTCAACTGACAACGGCAGGGTGCCGCCTTCTTCTCATGGATAAAACTTCTACATACCAAGCACTTGCCCTTCATCAGCAGCTGAGCAGCACTCCAGATTTATGGTGCGGGGATCTTGCCGCGATAGGCACTGCTACGTTTTGCTGACCCCACAAAACAAAGGGTTGCGATGCTGTTTGTTTTGCTGCAGGCTTAACCCCTTGAGGCCAACACGGACCGTCCTGAGGGCCACAGGCCGAAACTCGCTCCTTCGAAGTGACGACTTACACGGATTCTTTGTGGAGATTTTTGGGATGAGCCAGGTGCTGCAGTGTTCAGACTGTTCTGTTCTGTTCTCCGGGGTTACGGGAGCTGTCGAGGCTCCCCGCACCGAAAGGTGCGCCCTGTTGTTGGGCCTTGTGAGGGAAAGATGTCAGACATGTCGGTAGAAAGATACGGTTGCCCGGTCATTAGCAACACAAAACACAAACATATAAACGATCCACACGAAAATCCCCCGGGCTCCCCCTATCTTCTCCAGTGTTCAGACTCTCTCTCTCTCTCTCTCTGCGGGCGGTCCTGACATGGCTCGAAGGCATCCTTCCTGCCCTTCCGTGTACTTCTTCTGACATGTTCACTCATAGACTCATAGCACCACTTTTACTCAATTGTTGTAGGTCACCGCCAGTTCCGGTTGCGCCATGCATGGCTCGTTCTTGAAGTTGACGGGCTCTGGTTCGCATGGTGCGCATAGCCTTGCACGAACATCTGTACACCTTGAACCAGCGGGTTGCGTGTGGCCACTTCTGGCTGATGCCACGTTCTATACTGCAATGACTCGAATCTGTGGGAAACAGGAGGGGGGCTACGACGAGCTCAGGGATCTCTTCCGAGACTCCTGAAGTAGATGCCTCCCCGTGGCTCGGTCGGTGGAAGCACTTCCCTGCAAGAACCTGGCCATGCATCTCATGGGATGCCTTCGTTTAGCTGTCACTCCGATAACGGGCTCCGCGCTGCCGATGCACACAGAGAGCCTTTTCGACGCCCAGCTCAGTGCGAAGAGACAAGGTGCTGTCCCTTGAAAGACGGCGGTATTCGCGGTCATGAAGGTCTGCTTTGCCTGGCACTAAGACTGAGAATGTCAGATGCAGAGCACAAGGAAAACAATCAATTCGCAGCTCCTCTGAAACGCTGTGGGCCACATACAACAACACCGACGCATCCACACATTCACCTACCTCCACAGGCCGTCATCAAAGCCTAGCGCCAACACAACGCCCTGAGTCCTGTGCAACTTCAGGAATGGAGACTATATCTCCCTGTGTCACGATAACGAGGGCACTGAGACTGAGGAAGGATAACCGCCAGGGTAAAGAACCTTTCCAAACTGCGTATTCTGGTGCGGCCTCTTCAATTTCGGAGCAGATGGGCAGGCCTGGGTGAAACCATCGGCTTTGACTGAAACTGCATATAAACCGAGGCCAAAAAGCTCAGCTGCAAGTACAAGCTGCTGATTCGCTTTTCCTTCTGCGGCTTTCGTGTCTGCTCTCCTTGAAAACGACTTCTGGCGTCCTACAGTGCAGCTTCTACTGATCAGGTTAACTTTTAGAGGGCCCGCCGGCTTGCCAAGAAATTACTTAAGTTTGAAACGATCAAAGGGGCCCGTGAACACACAGCATCAGCCTCGCGAGGCGGGAGCACCCGGGCTGTCCTTTCGGCCGTGCAGGTGTGCGTGCATGATTGCATGTGCGTGTGCGGGTTCGTGCGGGCGCGTGCAGGGGTCCGCGCGCGTGAACAAGCATGCGCGTGCACGCCCTGCTGAATTCGCATGCACTCTTGTGTCTCCAGTGACAGGGTTGTATGTGCTGACACAAAAACACAAACGTGGCGCTTCGAACACCGACTGTGGACGTAGACTTCACGACGTCTTCTTCTGGAAAGGACTTGTCATGGGGTTGCGACAAAAGATACCGAGTGCCTGTGCCTTGGAAGCCGACTTGTGAGAATTGTTTGCAGGTGTTCGAATTTCACCCTCTGCTACTACGAGTAGCCCTGCACGGTCCTGTATGGTCAACGCTATGGGCTGAATGTGAGGGTCACCAAAAACATGGCAGGCAAACAGAAGCAGTCGATGGTTTCATTGTGTTTCTCTCTTCTTGTGTAGAGGACTACAGTGAGGAATTGAAACCCACAGAAGGCAATCCGGCCGAGATGCCATCTGTTGTACAACTAGAAGAGATGCTGCAAGACGAAACCTGAGAAGCGATGTTCAATTGAAGATGTGACATCGGAGTCAAAGCATCTGTGCTTGCCAAGGGTTTCTTGGTCGACCATACGAGCCCACCCCAATCTCCGTCCAAGACCTCACAAACAGCATAAAGGCGCCTTTTTGCTGCAGGGTGTTGAGCACAGCTCAGAGGGCGCACCGAGCTTGGTGTGCAGCTTGCGCTGCATGGGAAATACGGGAGAACACTCAGCCTGTTTCACGATGCTTTACCTCGACAAGCCGCATTAATGCAAAGAAGTCATCCGGCGATGGCAGTCTATGGTGCCCCTCCATGCACCGTCTTCTTAATCCGACTTGCTGAGAGTCCAGACTGCATCACCCCGGTCTGGTTCCAATACTGTTCACTCCTAGAGTACAAGGCCTAAGGTCCTGTACTTCCCAAGCGCGTGCGTCAAGTGGACTTTCATCGAAGCCTCGCGTTCAAATGATTCGAATGGAGACAGAAGACGGCCAGAGCGCAGTGTCCAGACCGTGTCTTGTGAAGCGCCGGAGTACCACGACTTGCTCCTTCTAGCATGCTGCGCTCACACGTCCGTCTTGTTGAGAGGCTTCTTCAGAAACTGAGCAAGTGGAGCTTCTGCTGTTCATGTATGTTCGAAGGTAGAACCCGAAACGGAGGGCTCTAGTCTAGAGTCTGGTGACCATTGCGTCTCTGGGATGACGATTGAAGGTTGATTTGTCTGCAAGACGCAGACTTCCGGAATGTAGAGGATGGCTTGTGTAAGCCCTGTATCTGGGGCTGTGGTGACGCCCAAGCAGATAGCCGAATATAGCCGAATATCCTGATGCATGTGCCAGCTCGGCAAATCATGCCGAGTCACACTGCTGTGCGTGGTCGCCCGGCCAACCGCAGCAACCTCTGCATTCAATCATGCTCCGACCCGTGCCCGATGGAACAGTACTTGATGCTCTTTGCTCTTGCCTGCACCGGTCAGCACCTCACGTCCTCCTAACCGCTGAGCTTGCTATAAGCATACCACTCCCCACGTCGTTGCCCTCGGATCACTCCGGACCAGGAGCATCCGGGCGCTCGTCTTGAGAGTCTTCGTGATCGTCTTGGTCCTGGCAGTGAGCGATTGCCGCCTGAAAGCCATGGCAAGACGTGACCATATCTTTCCAAGGTGCGCTGTCTGGGGCAATGAGCGGCATGGATGCGAACCGAGAGAATGAGCCCATCTGCCAGGGGTTGAAACTTGCGAGGTAGCCACTCACTGATGCAAGCAAGAGTACCGTGTGCAAAAGCTCGCGCATGACAGAGCTGGCTGCAGCGGCTCGGCTACTCTGCATGAGAATGCATGTCTATGTCGCGTGATACGGAGGTTCATGGACACCGCATCTCAATTGGCGAATTTCCACATGACATGTCGCCGGCACTTCCTCGTGACTTGCCCAGCAAAAGCACTCAGACTCATGTCCAAATGGCTTCGACGGGGTAAAACATGGTAAAACTGACTGCAGCCGCGGCGCAATTGCCTTGGAAGCCAGCCTTGGGAGATGCTCGGGAAAGCTGTCAGAGCTGGAGAAGCATGAATGACGAGGGGGGGAAGGCATCTAGGCTCATTGAACGTGTGCATGCCAGCGGGGTCGGCAGCATCGTCGGGCAACCCGGTATATAGTTTAGGAAGACATCGGCGATGCTGACCAAACGAACAGAGAACTATCGCACATTGCAACAATGGTTGTGGTATGGTTCTTCACTGAAGTGACCTCAATCTGTCTCCCGACAGTCTGGGAAACTGCGTTTGGGTACCTAACGATGTTTCACTGAGCAAAACGCCAGAGGATTGAACAAGACTCAATTCCGTCTCTCCGAAAGGAAAGACAGTAGCGACACCCTCATGCAGCGGCATGTCGTGGCCCTGCATGTTGGTTCTTTACCCTTTGCCCCCGCTTGGAGCATTCTCAGGAAGTTGTGCCGCTTATGAAACTTATGCGAGTTGACCATGAGCATCGTGCAATGTTAGATGCTTGCTCACCTTTCTGATCCAGGTCTTCTTCACCGTGTTCAAGAAGCATGCGAAGGACGATCCCACCGGTCAATCACTGAGTTGCGAGCCTGGTTGTTTCTTCAAAATCGTCGCATATGCCACCGCTTCTTGCTGTCACCCCGAGTGTTTCCAAAACCTACTTCTTTTCGGCCAGGCAAACAAACGCGTGGCAATCAGCCTAGGAGTGCAAATCGTTTGTGACGCTGTTGACCCTATCGGGAAGTCGGACGCAGTGTCCCAGCCCACGTGTAGGTGTCTTCGGCGGGTTGGTCGGCATCCCCGATACTTAGTGGGTTCACTGTCCACTCCACTTCACTTGAAACCTAGCCCCCCGAAGGTGCAGGCAAGCGGAGGTGCTCTTCGTTGCTTCTTCCCGTCTGCACCGTGCAGTATTCGGCGATTTTGGCCAGCATGTTTGTTAGTCTGCATTTTTGGATAACTCCCGCGATGGGTTCAGAACATATTCAGTGGAGTTGAGCGCACACTGGAGTTCTGCTCGCCTGGTGGCCCTTTGCAAGAGTTATGTGCTTCTGGCTCCAGTGTTTTGCTGCGTGTCTGCTCCTGGGGCAGCCGGCGTGGCTTCCGACTCCGGTCTGCTTGCTCTGGTTTGTTGGCGCAAGCTCACACACACACACACACACACGCTCTCTTTCTTTCGCCAGGGCTATGGGCAAGAGGGTTGCCCCCCTTGCCTCTCTCTCTCTCTCTTTCTTTCTCTAGCTCTGGAATTCTGGACTGTTGGAGGCACTACAAACGCGGCACTGGCCGAGCAACTTCTTCAGAAGCTGTGTGACCTCGTCCACGTCTGCACAGAAATGCTTTGCCTGGAAGACAGGTCTGTGTGAGTGCAGGATGAACAAGACCAGAGATCAAAGGGTGGCGGACAATTGCCGCGTTTTGCATGAGCATTGCAGCTCGTTGTACAATAAGTGGGTATTAAATGCACAAGGATGCAGTCCCGTGGGCTGTTCGCAACGTGTGATGGGAACGAATCTGGGGACGACGTGACGCTCCAATTCCTCCAACAAAAAACCCAACGGTTCTTCCAGAGCTGGAAGTCTAGATTCATCAGGTCGCAAAGACAAACAGAATGCTGCTTCCTCCGAACCCATTCTCTCCCTCTAAGCCCTGACGTTGCCTGCGTGGTCTTGCGTCCCACAGTCGCTGTGAACCAGCAGGTGGATGAGGACTGCAAAAGCACAGGAAGCTGACTTTCCAGGGTCTTGTGCTTCACCATCCCGGGTTTACAGAGCCCCGAATGGACATGTGCCCAAAGACCCAAGAGTGTATCTGCAAAGAGACCCCTGACCGCAGCTGCCGGCCATGCGGTAGAGATTGGATTGCGAGGGCGCTGAGGTCGTACCGTCCTTGAGGATTGGTTCTACTTCCCGAATCGCTGGAACATCTGGTGAGCGCCCAAGTCACAGGATGCATGCCGACTGTAGCTTGCAGGTTAAGCTGTCAGACGAGAGCCAACCGAGGCCGTAACCCCCTTGTCACAAAAGTTCACGGAGCGCACGGCCTTCTTGTCCTTGCACGGCATGTGCCCAAAGGCTGAGGCTTCAAGGTGAGCGCGTGCGAAGAAAGACATCAAAGCAGGCGGGCCTTTGGAGAGAGATTGGGTGAATCGCTGGGCGATGGGGCTAGACCGTCGAGCGAAGAGGCCATCGACCTTGACATCAAGCATAGCGAACAAGATACATCAACACAAACGACCAACAACAAACACAAAAGACGCAACAAACAGAACAGTATCTCAGTATCTTTTTGTGGTAGCAACAAAGCGGCGAAGCGCCAGCGCCGACTCGTCGGAGCGAGCTCTGCGATGGGTTGGCGGAGAGCGCGGCAGAGGTGTCCCCGTTCTGCGGCGGTCGTCAAAGCTTCCAGCGAAACAGCGCAATGCGTCGATTCTAGTTTTTGCTTGCAGACACGCAGAACCGGGTTTAAGTCCTCAGAACCTTGTGCCAATAATGCAGAATTGGTCCGCAAGGCGAGACTGCTGCACATCTCACAAAAAATAGTGCTTGGGGCATGTGACTTGTTCGTGCTCCTAGTTCATCAAAACACCAAAGATCGAAAACCACACAGCGCAACTCAGCTGTGGCGTTCGGAATGTCTTTGTGTCGAGTGCTGTGCCAGCTCTAGTGACTCTAGTGTTGAGCAACCCCTAGTGCTGAGTAAACATCGCGACTATCTCGCCACATGATGAACAATCACAACTTACAAACCCTACCATCTCTTCTCACGGCGCAACAAGGAAGCCGCATTGCTCAGGTGCGAGCGCGCTTGAAGTAGTCCGAAATCGCCTCGAACCTGGGACCGAAACACTTGCAGACGCCCGCACAAAGCAGCCACCATGTTGTGAAGGTCTTTGGAGACTTTCCGTCGAGACTCCTGTGAACCCGGCACCTCACTCTCATGTTCCTACCCCTGCTTGCACACACATTAATTCTGGAAGCCATACAACAGCATTACCACGTATCACTTCCAAAGACCCTCCAGCTCAAGCAGATAGAGCGGCATATCCTCATCGGATCGATCGTCACCAATGCTCAGGACCTCTGGAACGGAAGGCTGCATGTTTGAGACACCTGCTGTGCTCAGAACTTGGTGACGACATGGTAGCAAACGCGGCTCAAGGCTATGTCTGCCAACTGTACTTGCCTTAAGGGCTACATGCGTGTGTGACCTGTGACCGAAACCTTCAGCCCTAAACGGCCCTAAACCGGTCAGCGTCGTTGGGCGCAGTTGAGCCGCGAAGTCAACGTTGCCCAGCTCTTCCAAGGTCTTAATGACGGCTCGGCCCTGCAAATGCTTTTAGGCCCGGGATTCTGATACCAATAATAAGGGTCGCCGTAGTTGGTAGCAGGGGCCCTTATCTGTTTCGTGCTTCCATTTCAGAATTTCAAGTGTGGTACAACCAAAAAGGAGCAAGAAGGGTGTTGAGACAACTAGTCTGCGTACATGCAACGTGGACGTGTCCTGATTTCAATGGTGCTGCCCTTGCCTATTACCCTTCGGCACAACCCACGGAGAAATACAAGGGAGTCGCAGTGCAAGGCGAAGCTCCTTGTCGACGTCTGCACGTTTTACTTCCACGTAGCCCTTGCCCATGATGACCTTCACCTCGAGAGCCACGGCCGGCAGCCGACGGCCCCCCCCCCAGGCCCATCCGTCTGATTCTGTCTGTCTGCTGGCAGGAGGCGGGATATCCGTGAAGTAGCCCGGTGGGCACCTCCGGATCCAAGAACCTTCGTTGCAGAATGTTGCGAGGCGGCCGCCTCTGCCCTTCCATAGTCAAAACGGGCAGGCTCGAGGGCGAAGTGTCCTGAAGTTTAGCTGAAGCACCGCACCAGCTCAAGAGCCACATCGTCGATGACTCCTGTGGCACCGACCTGTTCACTTCGAAGTTGTGCGGTCTCTTTTCCCTAGCTTGGAAGTCTGGCCTCACGGTAGTTCCAGGAAATGGCACATGCCTGTGCCATGGCGAACACCGGTTCCGTGAACTTGGTAAGGCCCCCCCCCAGAGCTTCCTGCCTTTGCTTCCAGGATGCTGCCCTGGATGCGCTGCACATATTGCTTCATGAGCTCAATGCAGAGATCCTCGTGCATGCCGCCAATTTGGGGCGGTGAGCTCAGTGTCTGAGGTGGAATATCTCAGTCCCCTCGTTCCCCTAACTCTAGGGACGCTCCCTCGGCCCTAGACATGGGTACGATCGCCTGGCAGAGCCCGGGTGCTCCCGCTTGCATGGATTTCACTACTTCACTTGCACGGATCCGCCTTCCACTCCTGGTTGTTGTCCGCAATAGCTGAAGACCTTCCACCAGCAGCCCGAAGCCGTCCGAAATGCATGGTCGGTCCAACATGCCAAACGGAGCTGCAAGATTCCCACTGGATGACATCGCTCGTGCTGTTGGTTCAGATGGAGAACATGGATCGGTTCAATACGGTTGAGTCCAGGGCTTCTTGTGCTTTCAGCAGCCCAACGATGTGAGCATTCATGGTTCTGAAGTCTTCTTTCCCATCTACTTTGCCAAATCACAGCCAAGGAACTTCCATGCTCGCTCGCTTCCGTCCTGCTGCTGTGCCTCACAGTGGCTGCAAAGGAATCAATTGATCCCTCTTGGTGCCACCGCAGCGCCTCATGTGACTTCCCATGCCCCAAAGACGCCTCTCGGAGGGTGCGCGGAAGGAGCCGGTGAAAGCCATGCTCGGCGAAGAGGCCGAGGCCGTCAACAGATCCAAACCACTCCTTCCACTTCCGAAAGATGGTGCAGGGATAGCTGTTTGAGCGCCCGAAAGGACTTTGACGTCTGTAGGAGGTACACCGGTGTTGGGGTGATGTGCTTCTGGACCCATCCCTCAAAGGGACGGTTGGCATGCCTCAGCCTGAAATGACTCACTATTCATCAGTCTTATTTAGACTGTCATGACTGGTAAACACATTTCATCCCTATCTTGGCCTCCATGACCTGCTTGTTGCGACCCGACAGGACCTTGGCAACCATCGGAAAACTGATGTTTCTGTTGGCTCACTTTCTGCGCTTTGGTGGGTATTCTGCGCTAGAGATCCTCAACATCCACACCGGCATTTCCCACAGGGCTCTGCTTCGCCATGCTTCGCCCTTCGTGCTGAACTGCAGAGATGTGATATGATGTGATCTCATCTCCGGCACCGTCGGCTGGAAGCGAGGCCGGGCACCCTTTTTCCCGAGGATGGGGCAACAACGGTGTTCCCACGATCGTTGACCAAGGTCTGCAGCAGGTCGACGACGTATGGGTCCGGAGGCTGTCCTGCAAACACTCCAATGTGTCAACCCACCACCAGATATCCATGTGCCCTGTGGCTTTGCTTCTGATCCCAAATATGTCTAGCGCCTTACCTGATCCAACTGGCTCGGTCTGCCCGGCAATGCCAGGGGCACAAGCTCGAGCTTTGGCGCTGGAGCAAGTACTGCATGAAAGGCCCGGATGTCTCTGCAGCCCCTAGGTGCTGGCACAAGGCGCCTTGCTTCTGCAATGCCACCATTGTGGTCGACCTGAAACCATAATGGTGGCAAGAGAGTTGCAGCAAAGCCAAGATCTGCAGAAACTTCCTCTGCATCCACTCTTACTGAGAATGCCACTCAATTTGCCACTTCTGCTTGGCTGCAATAGTCCCCTGCCACAAGTTTGCAAGGGGCCATCTTTCCCAGTTAGCATCATCTATTACACTGCACCGCCTGTGTGCAGCATAAACTCTCCTAAGCTACCCAGAATCAGCCTCGTTGTCAAGGAAGATTGCTCGTTTCTTCGCGGCATTGTAAGCGGCAGCGACCTCAGAGAAACCGTGCACAAGGTCGGCAATTGCACTTGCGTGAGAGGTTGATCAGTCCAAGTCTCGATCATCCTACGTCGAACGGTGAAAATACGATTGCTGGTGGGGCGGAAGGCAAGCCGACCGCTGCAACATATACTCTCTGCACAGGTCTGCAACATGCAGGCCGTGGCATGATGCGTTCGACGTGGAGCCTGCAGTTGACTTTTCTTGATCTGTGGCTGCATGCAGCTTGAGCACTTCCTCCGAAGGCAGGTGCACAGGACCTCCAAACACAGGCAAGAATCCCGAATTGGGAAGGTGTCTTGTCTCCCGGCCTGCCATTGATGCGCGGTACGTCAGATCTCTGCTATTCCTGGACTGTATCGAAAACAGATACGCGTGTTCCATGCATGTTGCCGCGCTTGAAAGAATCAAAGGCAGCTCAGCTTCCTGGTGACCTTCAGTTCAGACAGATTCTTGTGGACCCACCTGACAGTGTCATTGCTCGGAATAGGTCATGAAGAAGGGCACATGAATCGCGAAGTCTCTGCCGAACTTAGCGCCGCTTCTTTAGCTGAGGAGCTGAACGAGCGTCTGCGAAGAGACGTAGGAGTGGTCCTTGGGTTACTTCCAGACACGTCTTGCTCCTTGACCTGTAATACTCTAAGCCCTAAGCTGCATCGACCTAAACATCCACACAACGTAGATATCCCATTGAACCAAGAAGCCTTGGTGAATCGCAAGGCCTGGTCCTCCGGAGTGATACCTTGAGTGCTTTTGACCCAGAAAACAATGACGACACCACAGAGACAGCTGAGGAGAGTCGTTGGCTTCATTGTTGGGATGGCTCAGAGTATCATCCCATCAAGAATGCGGAATGTCTCTAAAGGAGGAGATTGGGTCGATGCTGCAAGGCATGCGAAACGGCAGAACGCCCTGTCGTTGCGCGAGCTTGCCACGCCGCCACACGTGCGACCCAACCGAGAGCCCAATCACCGCTGATCCAAGCCTACAGCTTCAGAGCCCGAGCTGCTGATCGCCTGGTCCAGGGCGGTAAGGACCTGAGTGCAGAGTTCCGCGTTGCTGCCGTCGCCACCCCACCGTGGGAGAGTCGCCCTCTCTCTTCTGAGCTCGATGCAGCACCGGTGTTCCAAGGGTTGATCTTGAAGGCACCTCTCCGCAGCGCAGCAAACGAAAGTGAGAGCAAAGGCTGCATTCAGGATGCAGATGTGCCACCAAAAGAACTGCATTCCAGCCACCTGTTAACACGGAGGAGCAGCCGCAGAACTCGGAGATCAACGCCACGCCTTTCTGGTCCTCTGCTCTCCGACACTGGAAGCCGAGAGCCATGCAATGGCCATGCAATGGCTGTCCTTTTGGAGTTTGTCCCGAGCAAGGCTTCAGATTGCTTGTCGGACAGAATGGGTGAGTGTGTGCACGTCTGTCAATCTGTTTCCGTGCCTCTGCATGTCTATGTAGGTCTTTGTTCGTCCCTGTCGGTCTTGGGTCTGCTTCTGTGTGTCTCTGTTCGTATACTTGCCTGCATGTCTGTCCGTCCGTGCGTCCGTCCGTGTCTCTGCGTCTCTGTGCAAAAGCAGAGCACCCTCCTGCGAGTGCGCCGCGTAGAAGTTGAATGGAATGAGGTTCAAGCCATCGTTCGTGGAGGTGTCCAGCAGAATGTCTGTCGCCTTGAAGCTTCTAGTCTTTTGATCTTGTCTCGGGGCTTCGGATAGCTTCAGGCTCCTGGAACGAAGACGTTGGATCAACTTGTGCTCCCATGAGAAGTTGCAGGCAGAAAGTTGGCTTGGGCAAGCCGTGTGAAGCGAGCATTGGGATGATGCCACTGTGCCCGCCACCACTCGAACTCGATATTATGACTATGCATGACTCTTCAACCGCTTTTCAGCTCCTGAGGTTGCTTGGAGTACCAACTTCATACAACCTTTACAGCCCCGAAGTTCTGCCGGAGAAGCCCGCGCTTAACTCAGACACCAAGTAGCCAAAAGGACTCCAAGCTGCTTTTCTCTGGTTGTCTCCTTGCAGTTCTTTTGGATTTGAAGTTGGGGGCTTTGTTTATTGTTGACACTGCGGGTGCACTGACAGGAATCTTTCACGTCTTAGTTTTGGACTGCTTTTTGCTGAGGCTTCAATCTGGTGCGGGTCAGCTCGCGTCTCTGCCGTGCCTCCACAACGATGGTGACCAGGGGTGGCTCCCCTTCCACACCGAAGGCTTTGTTGGTGGCGTCCTTGTCCGATGCACGATGGGTTGGTTGGCAGCAGACAGCAAGCAGTCACAAGCACAGCCGCACCTTCCGAACCGATAGCTGTTGGCACCCCAGGGCTACATTCGACTGTCTGCGACTACGACAAAACAGAGCGCATGCTTGACAAGGCAATACCACATGATTGGCAGCCGTGTAGGCACGCATGTGAGATGAATTTCACTTGAGTGGCAACGATACGATGCAAAAGCTGCCCAAGTAGAGACTCAAGCAAGCTTATGGTTAAACGTCGCGACAACAAAGTTCAGACTTGCAACAGCGGCCCTAGGCATCTTTCTAGCACTCCGCAACCCGAAATACTTTCGGCTTCCCCCAAGCCCACAGACTCCGCTGAGGCAGCAGCCGCCATCTGCCGAAGCTCTTCAATGCTCACCTTAACGCAAGGCCAATCTCCCGCGGAATCGAGATGATGGTGGACCGGGGATTGTGTCAGGGGATTGTTTTTGCTCGTCAGTGGTGTGGGGCTAACCCACCAAAACAAGGCAAGCTACACGCGTGATATCTGTGCTGTACCATCGATTGATCAGGGTCACGGAAGACTGGCAGGCAAACTACCCAAAAAGGCTGGGTCCATCAATGACCAGGGAAGAAGAAGACATGGCTCTCACTATGCCGGATAAGGAAGCTGAGAAGTAGCCTAAAAAAATATCACCAAGACTTTTGCAGCCTAGTTGCCATGCCCTTCCGCTTCGAGTCCGTGGCACGCCCGCGAATGTACTGCACAAGAACCACACTCCGCCTGAGTTGAGGTGCAACTGTTACTGTTCGACAGGCTGAATGCGAGGCCCTGTTCCAGAACAAATAGTCCACAACGAAGCAAAACCTTCTTGTAGGATTTTCTCACGCATGTACTTGCTGAAATGAGTGTGTATACATGTGAGAAGATAGATAGATCGATAAATAGGTAGGTAGGTAGATAGGCAGTGTATACACGTATATACACATGTGTATGCACACCCATACAAGGTATATGCATGTACACTACATACAGAATATGTACATATGTGTGTAATACATAAATAGATAAATATAAATACATATATATATATATATGCTCATGCATGTATTTATGTATGCATGTTTCTTTGTTGCAGGCGTGTGTATGTACATTTGTACGCACATCATACTTGCATGTGATACATCCAGACCTGGATGGACGGAGATGCATGCGTGTATACATGTATGTGTACATACCTATACAGCTCAGCACAGCAAGTCTGCCACGAGTCTCTACTTCAGGGCGCGGCCAGCGTTGCAGCCCAGAATGTTCTTATTCCCCGCACGTCCAGCTGCTATGGTTGCAAACTGTGCGAATCTCTAGAAAACTACATTTAAAGGTGGGTTCTTTCCCAAGCGGGCGTTGCAGGCATGGGTTCTAGCCAGTCAACAGTAGGGTAAGGCTCCGACCATATCCAAGAACTGCACCCTTACTGCACCCAAAGGAAACCCCGCCACTGCCCAGCCGGCCTGTGCGAGCGATACTCCTGCAGGAGGTGGCCAGAGAGGGTCAACTGTTGTCAACGTCTGCAACATCATGAACTGCGAAAAGTCTGAGGAGTCTCTTTGATCCTTCTCTTGGGAAGCCGTGCGCGAGGGGAGGAGGAGGTCTTTCTTGAAGCTTGGAACTGACCCAGACCCCATGAGGTAACTCAAACTGCAAACTCACACAGTTCAACAGTCTTTGCAGCTTCGCACCTTGGCGACATTCAGTAGCCCACATCGGTGCAACCGGATCTCCTAACACAGCACTCCTCGCCTGCAAAAAACGGTGGAAAGTGCGCAGCTTGAGCGTTAGCCCGCTGAAGCAGTCGAATCGATCATAGGCACCTCGCAAGCCAGAGTTTGTCGGATTTACGTGCTTCGTCTCGGATTGATACGTCCTGGCTGAGTCGCGCTGTATCCCAAGGTCTCCACCACCTAACGGCACCGTGAGTCTTAGTCAGCAGCCCACTGATTGATGGAAGGTGGTCCCAGACTCCAAAAACCCAGGAAGGCTTCCATCCCAGCAGCCGATGATTGTTTTGCCCTTGAACTGGTTCCGGATGGAAGCCGCTCGCTCAACAACCTGCCAGACTCGTGAGGTGCCAAAAGTCAACAAGATCGTGGAATCACTGCGTGACAGCGCTGTGGATTGCCTTCGCTAGGGACCCTAGGTCCACAATCACAACGAGGCAGCCCGGCACTCCAGCCTTCTCGTCAGAGAGCTTCTTGATTAGATGATTGTAGGGGACGGTGAAGTGATCAGCAAAGACCACCACGCTCCGATTTTCGTGCTCAACCTTCACAGCCCCAGATCAGCACAACAATCTGAAGATCTTTCAATTGTTGCACGTTAACCGCTACCTTTTTCTTTGACACCGGGCATCACCTAGTGCTAGTCATACTTATAATGATCATGTCGAGTCTAGACGTGATGAACCATGAGTTGCTTGTTTCCGCTGGTTGGTCGTGCAGTAGCTTCTCGTGGCTTGCCACGCTCAGCGCAGCTGGCCATCCAGCGAGCAATTCTACCAGACCACACATCATCTGCCCGGCCACTGCCGTGACTGCAGCCGTCGCTTCAAATCAGGAGCAACAGCTTCCAGGTATCGATGCTACGCACTTACCGTACTTGAGTCGCTTGCAGTGCTGCTTTCGCGTGTCTTCCTGACCCCTGCTTGAGGTCTGCATGGGCACTGCGTCAGCTACAAGCGAAATAGGACCTTCAACTCCGAGAACCCTGCGGTTCACTTGTCTGAGTATCTCAACTTGGACCACCTGTTAGCTGTTAGCCCGGTTGTCAATTCTGCCTCAGAGCAGTCCAGCCTGCTGCGCGTGAGCCTCAGTCTTTGCCTGCTCTTGAGAAGAGAGCTCGGCTGTTGGCAGGAGACAAGCTTCAAGCCCAGTCAGGTCCGTCTGTGTATGCCCTGGAGACGCGTAGGCAACACCCTCCCAGAAGGCATGGAAGGATAACCGCAGATCCGCCAGGCTATCCGGGCGGGCGAACTGGGCACTTGGATAACCGAAGGGCTCTCCGTCCTGGGTCAAAAGCAAGAGACGGCTCTGTTGAGGTTCCTTCTGCCCGTCGGAAAACTCACGCATCCACGGGGGCAACCTGCAAAACCACCAGCTTCTTGGAGAGACGTCGTCGGGTCGGAAGTAAAAATACTCCTGGACCGCCAAGAAGCTTCCGTCTGTATCCTCTTGAAAGACAGGCAGGTGCTCGCAGCGGCGTCCTTGAGTCCACCTCTCGACACCGCCGGGCCGCGTCAAGGCGAACTCGGTATTCCCACCGTTGCGGCGCAGGCCAATGCAACGGAGGCCTGCGCGGCGCGCGAAGGCAAGCACCGCGGAGGAGCTCACGAACTCCATGGGCCAGCCCCCCAACCAGTCCCGAACATCAGTCCAGAAGTCCATGCCTCTCATCTGGGAAAAATTCCGTATTACTTCAAAGGGGCTTCGGCCGTCCCGCAGTAGTGGGCGGAGCCACTCCAGACCTGTTGCATAGCATGCAGGCAAGAAAGAACATCCTAAAACTATGGATGTGCTCTCACCTTACCTTAACTTCGATGAGTCGAGCCATGAAGGTACGTGAGAGTGGCGGATTCCCGTGCCTATCGCAATCTCGAGGTCCTGCTGCTGCCGAGCAGTTGCATTCTGGTAAAACTGCTTCATCAGCAGGATGTGATCCTGCTCATCGTAGAACTCTTCTGCATATACTGCTGCCAACAGCAGGCCGTCATCAGCCAAGGGCAGTTGAGCATTGTGGAGGGCCTGCCAAACATCACCTGTATGATGCAGGACGCCCCATGTATAGACGATATCGACTTGTCCCAGGCCAGCTAAGGACCGAGCATCCAGGGCCGACGCCTGAACGAACTGCCATCCATCGTCTCCCTCGTTGAAGAGCTGTCTCAGCTGTCGGGCCGCATCCAGAGACGCCGACTGGACGTCCGCGGAGAGGACGGACTCGGCTCCCAGCAGTCGGAAAGCCAAGGAGCTGAGTCCGGAACCGCAGCCAAGGTCCAAGATTTTCAGCTTCTCGAAGCCAAAGCCGCCCGCGCAGCGCCGGAGCTCCCGCACGGAGCTGAGCAGCCCAGCGGCGGAAAGGCGGCCTTTCTCGATGAACTGCTTCCAGTTCTTCCCGAAGGAGAACTGCTCCGTCTCTGTGGGCAGGTCCGCGAGGGAGTGAAGAAGCCGGCCCAGCAGTTGCATGGCAACCTTGGGCAGTGTGTCAGCTCCTCGTTCGGCACCAAACTCACTTTGTAGTGTTGTCCGCTGTTGAGGAAGGTACCTGCTCAGAACCGGCACCATGTCTTCAACGCTTCGTTTCATCACGGCTTGCAGTTCCTCGCGGCTCAAGGCTGCCGCGAGAGTCAGACCAACCAGCGCCTGCGCCTGCAGCACAAAAACGCCCAAGACGCAGAAGTCCTGAGCGGTCGAGCGGCAGACCAGCAAGACAAAACAATTTTGCGTTACCTGCACGAAAGCGTATGCTGAGGTCAAGAATCAACTGCACCGCAGAGATTCGAAAGTGGCACGTCCAACGTGTCCACGGCTCCCTGGAGGTGCAGTTCCCCATAGGGTTTGTTACAGGGCGCGCGTGCGCATACACACATTGACCCAGAGAAGCAGCTTCGCAACTCCCCGGCCTGGAGAAGTGGCTGCAGTTCCTGCTTCCGCGCAGGGTCTTGGATGATCGTTGGCAGTTGCAACCAGTCCACCTCTGCCCACATGGACGCACCCCCATGGCGCAGCCGAGTGGAAGTGGTTCTGCTACAAATGGCTGCGGGACGGTCGGTCTTCGGCGATTTCTCGGAGACGGCATGCACCATGTCAAAATCCTGCCTGCAGGATGCCACCCTTCTGAAAGGAGTGGCGGGTTCCCAGCACCGAGGAGCAGCAGGACATGAAGTGCCTCATACGGAGCGCAAAGGCTCAAAGATTTGAGGATGATCTGCACTCGCGGAGACGGACATGACGCAAGTTCATCACTGTATCAGTAAGCCAGTGTTTCATCTGTGAACGCTGTTTGCCACGGCCAGCCGTGCACTGCAGTCCAGATAGCTCTGAGGTCCCAAGGCACGGTGGGAAGTGTCCTACCAGCTCGCCTCAAGTAGTCAAAGGTTTGGAAGGTCACCAGCCTGCGGGCGGCAAGGGGTCGGTTGAAAGGGCGACTGAACGGCACGGGCCAGCCTGCTGCTCAGCATGCCCTGCAGGATGTCCTCTCGGACGGGCAAACAGCTCATCACCTGGCCAACTTGGAAGGCGAGCGATGTCCGTCTGTCCTGACTCGCTTTGCCTCTACCGCACGACACAATGCGTGCTCCGAGCACACGTCTCTCTGTTGTCCCTGCTTGGTCTTCTGGTTCTGTCGTATGTGCATTCCTCCCTTCGCAATATCCCACCTCGGTGCTAGGAAACGCACAATGGAGAAAAAGACCAGTGGTGAAGTCTGGATTGCCTCAGTTTCGCTGAATGCGGGCAATGAGCAAGAAGCGCAAAGAAGGCAGTGGCGAGAATTGGAGTTTGTACCGGGTTGGACATTCACGGCAGCACACTTGCAACGAAGCCACGGTGATAGACGAAGCGGGGGACCATCACCTTAGCCGAGAGATGCCATGGACACGCAGTCGTTCTGCGTTGGTTCTGGCCATCAAGTGTCTGCTCCCACACAAGGCGGTAAGATGCACATAGCCCGGGCTTTGCAAAGGGATCTGGTCAACTGTGAAACTAGCAACTGGGGTCTGTCCGCATTGTCTTCATGCCTGGTGTGCAGGCGAAGGCTCGAGCTCGTAGTCGTGGATCCAAACAAGCGTGTTCTCATCACCTCGGAAGAGCAGCCGGCTCGTTCGTGTGGTCGAGTGTCTCGGGCACTTTAGACTGCAGGCAGGCTGTGTTTCAATGTCAGCAGCCAGAAGCATGCCTTCAATGCACTCAGGTCAAAGGTTGTTTCTCGCCTCTCTCAGATTGTGGAAGTGCTAGCCTGCAAAACAGCTCATGTTACTACAGAGTATCTTGCTGAAACCTGCAACGCTGCTGCCAAGAGTCCGTGCGTGGTAATCACCTCCGCGTACGCGTTGTTCAGGTTTAGGAAACTCTTCCAAAGCGCCTTGTCGAAGGATTCGTACTCCTCAGAGCCAGAAGACTTAATTGTTTCAAGGAGACGCTTGTGGAACTGCAACAGGCCCGTCACGGTATTGTGCTACTTGTGCTTGAGAGTGCCGAAGCCTGTACCCCGTGACATTGCGCGGCTGTTCATGTCCCACTGGTGCTGAAAAGCCGCATGGTCACCGGTGATGGTCGCATCGAAAATCTTCATGTTGTGAAACACGGGCCACAAGTAGTCTTCCTGGGCTGAGCCAAGCTTCAAATGTAAACCCCGTCAGCCACGGTGGTATGCCACTCGGGATAGACCCGTGCATGCACGTATTCGACGAGATAATTCATGCCAAGCAGGGGAGAGAGAGAGAGAGAGAGNNGAGAGAGACAGAGAGGGAGAGGGAGAGATTGCGAAACAAAAAGACAAACATCAACAACTGATGAGAAACGGTGATCCCTTGCTGTTGGCGTGGCTACATGCAAGTAGTACTGTAGCGCCTGAGGGCAGAGGTCGGACGGACAGGTACAAGGCCCCACTGCCTAGCCTCCCTTCGCAGAGACTTGTTCTAAGATCAGAGGAAGCACTTGCAACCTAAAAAGTTGCTGACGCGGATCTGCGAAGAAGTTGTGCTTTTGCACGACATCCTGGAGGAGATATGTGACATTCCCACGACCATCTGTGGGATGTCAGGCTTCGTGCTTCTGTTGACACCCCGCTTGACTGCCAAACCGTCACTTTCACAGGCTTGTCTGAATTTGTGAGGCTCAGGTCTAGCCCACATCTTCCTTTTGAGCTCCTCGTCGAGAAAAACCGGGATGCAGGAATGCTTTGCCAGGAGGTCTGTGAGCTGTTTCCTGTCGGCGTGGGGCTTTCAGAAAACCAGACGTCCCTCTCTATCGCAGGGATCCTTACCTCACGGAGCAGAGTCTTTAAGGTGCCGTCAGCTGGAGTGGTATCGTATCCATTCTGCAGCCGGGCCTGTCCGCATCATCTCTGACACATACACCTGCCAGGTTGACAGAATGTGAAAGCGGAAGGCTCAAATTCAGTCAGCTTCGACACCCGTGCGCAAAATTAGGAGAAGGTTTTGCCTAGTTCTTTTGCAAGCGTTCTTGTTCCAAATCATGTTTGCAGCTCCTCCTCTGTCAGTAAGAGGTTGATGCGCCCCTGAAACGTCTGGGCCTTCCCTTCTTCTGGTACCTGTTACAGCATATCGTTACAGCTGCCTATTTGCACCCGTCCTGGGTGCCCGATGAACTTCACAGACACATCAATGGCTTCAGCCGCCGGGGGCTTGTTGACCCCGGTCTGCCTGAGTATCGGTGGTGCTGCTCGCTTTACTCGCGACTGTACAAAAAGTCCTGCGATGCATAGTGTCAGTGCTAGACTCTACTCATGCACGAACGATGAATTTCAAACTCAGCTATGACTGTTACAAGCCAGCTTATGCTGCATCGGCGAGATCGTTCACTGCATCCAATCGCTGCAGGCTCGGGGGTTTAGATGATGATGCGAATCCGACAGCGAGAAGTCGGATGCTACACACACCCTCGCTCCCACTCCAAGAGTTTGCATTTTCAAGTAAACAAGACCAACCCAGAACAAGGCACCTGTAATCAATGCTGGGGCAAAAGTTTAAACCTATGAAACCATATCAAGCCACTAGAACCACTAGAAGCCCGCACATGTAAATTGCTGTTTGAGAAGCGTGAAGTGCTTCAGCAGGGGCAACGCAGTTCCGGCTCCATGGCTAATCTTTTCAACCTCGGTTCTGAAAGACCATCGGCTGTCAATCTGCTGTCTTTCAGATTTGAGCGCTTCGAGTTAATTGCTGCACCAGGCTGCCGTCTTTGATCGGAAGCTAATTGCTTGCGTTGTGGCTAGAAGCAGAACCGGTTAGTCTCTTAGCTGCAAAGACCGCCGTCGGGCGAGCGCTTGCATTACATTTGGGGAGCAGATGTTTCGGGATAGCGGTGCGTGGCCTCCAGCAACAGCACGCAGGCTTGCTTCATTGTCGGCTTCCGACGGTGCATAATATTCAATTTCGCTGGATCAGAAGGTACGAGATAGACCGACAAAACAAGCTGATAGAATCACACGAATGTAAACAAGAATGCAAAGGACAACTCTGTTTACCTCAATTCTCAGCCCGAATTCAGGCCGCAGGCCTAACCAACGTAAGAACCATCATTGACTGAAGACACAGCCTGGTGCCTTGCCTCAGCATTATTCAATCTCCAAACCAGGGCAACCCCTCAATCCCTAACTCTGACATGTAAATTTCCGACGCTTCTTGGCTAATTACACCAGCTTTACATGGTACGCACTGGATTGTCAAGTTTGGGGGTTGGGGCCACAAAACGTGCTATTCGATGCGAACCGGCCAAGCCACTTGCCAGTCCCCGTTCTCGGCTCGCTTGACCACTACCTACGGCGCATGCTTGGCACCAAAGCAAGTCTGATTTTGCATTTTTTCAATGCGGCAAGGCAGCGTCAAGCAGCATGGACAACAACAACTAGGCAGTTCTTGTCCGGTCTTCCATGGACGTGATGGAAGAAGATTCTGTTCATTGTATGTGCAAGCGATGCAATACGGATGGCTTAGCGGACCCAAGGTCCATCACTCTCGAGGAACGCTGAAGCTAAACTTGCTCATCCTTGCACGAGGAAGCCTCGGAAAAGATGTGAACCAGAAATCAACAGACAAGCATACTGTGGTGATAAAGCCAGACACCGTCACCAAAAGTAGTCCTGTCTCACCCGACCATTTCGCAGAACAAAAACATGGCAACCTGGATGCAGAATCACTGACCATGGCATGAACCCAATGAGATGCACGTTTGTGATGGTGAAGATGTGCCCCAGTGGCTGGCAGGCTTCGGAACACCAAGAAGGCGCTGTCCTCGCCTCAGGGTCTTATCACGAAAGTTGCAATTCTTAAGCCCACATTCCCTTTGCACAACGAGCAGCATCGCCTTTGATTGAAACTTTCTAAACCGACCGACGGGTAAGGCTCGTCAGCTGTTGGCCTATCATCGAGTGCAGTCTTCTGGAGCGATGCAAACTGGATGTCTTGTGATGCAGAGGAGGCCAGAGCCTAACTGTGCGACAGAGTCTCTTGTTACGTCACAGAGCTGAGTCAGGTCCTCAGTGTCAGGTGCAAGGGAATTGCTGTGGTTGGCTTTCCAAGCGTGAGCAGAGAGCTTCTCGGCTCAAATCGGCTCAATGTTACACTGTGTGAGCCCTGAACGAGGAGAACCGGCTGCAACTCGCCCAACGCAGCAGAACCGAATGCAGGGTCTGCCGACTGTATGTCCTGAGGCATCAAGAGTTGCTGCATGGCATGGTTTTGATTATCGCCATTTGCCTTACGCCGAATTTCTCATCAACTTGCAGAGACTTCGACTGGTCTGAGCCAGGGATCCATGGACTTTGAACGCACGTTCCAGCAGCTTCCAGACCGCGGGGAGGCTGGGCTTCTCGGGCTTGTTGGCTGGCTCCTCGGCTCCATTGCATGCGCATCCCTATTGTTCAGAGTTATCCGAACTGTCTCGAGGAGCGTTGCTGCAGAGCGGCCTCACCGAATGCGAACCCGAAAGTACAACAGAGCAGGCAGTCCATGAAACTCCCTGTGAGGCCTGGAAACATCAAAAGCTGAGCACCCTGATGCGGAAACCTGCAGGTTTCTCGACAAGCGTCCCATGGTAGCCCGATGGACTGGGAGGTCGGCTGCCGGAGTTCCTTCGACGCCAGGTGGAGAGGAGGCGCTGCGTAAGACCGTGGAATAAACTCTTTTCAGGTGCCTATGAACCTGCCATCTATGAAGCCTCTAGACTGCCGAGGCACGCTTCTGCGGCGAGGGAGGCTCCCCGAGATGCGACTGTCGACATCTGCGGCTTGGAGAGATTTCGATGCCGTGCATTAAGCTGTTTCAAAGGGATAGTAGTTAGGCTTTCGTGCGAGCATACGCGGTGTAGACTCCAAACAGGGAAGGAGACAGGACTGCGGCAGGAGCACGATTTGGGGAGGTGGAAATGAAAGGGCCGCATTCTCACGGTGGTGGGAGCACGATGGCGAACGTTGGCACGCTTCAAAACACCTTAGAACCGCGGGACGAACCCGGAGTAGCCAAATAGTTAGTCGACAGTCGTCGCGTGCCTCGATTTCAACAAGCACAGTAAGTACTTTGGGGGAAGCACGATTTCTCCAGGCTCCAGAACACCACCCAGAAAACGAAAGCAGGCTCTGGGCTCGCGCGACCGTGGCGAGAACGCGCTCATGCTCAAAGAGGGAGTGCAACAGCCAGGGAGCCGCCGCGTTCGCTTGCCAGGCGCTTCATGCTGTGATTAAGCCCTTTACGCTGATCGAGATAACCTCATATTGCTCCGACGCTTCTTTGGGCTAGAGGTCTGTACTGTAGCAAAACTGCGTTCTGATTTCCGTGAGCTGCTTCTGTCTTTCAGCCCGCTCTAGGTCCGGGTTCCAGCTTCATCGGCAACACCGACAAGCACGACTCACACAAACGAACAACCCCTTCCAAAACAGCACTCGTTCCAAAGATGCGGCGGCGACCGCTGCGAAAGAGCTGCGAAAGCCGCAGGCGCGCCTGCCCGGCTTCATCGTCGCCCGTGGCCCGGCAGCGGCCGTTGTCGTCTTCCAAACAAAGCGTGCGACCTCCGACAACACAAAAGGGATATCACAGGCCCATGTGCCACTCTGCAAGACTTTGGCTTTAGATCGAGGGAGCTGCTGAGAAATGGTGCTAGCGCAGGTTGCAAGCTGTATGTGTGTATTGTAGTATATACAAATATATATATATATATATATATAATATAAAGAAGTAGAAATAGATAGACAGTGAATAATGGTAGGAGCAACAGCGATGGTTTTATCGCAGCACGCAGTGTCCGTGGCGCAACCAGGTAGCGAGCACAACAAAGCGGAGAAGGATGTAAGGCGTACCAAGCAAGCAGGGTGCAACGACCGGCTGTGAAGACCGCCGACATTCCAGGCAAGCATGAAGCAGAAGGCGAATGTCGGAAGAAAACAATCAAGGAAGCTGGCCTGGAAAAGAGGCTAGAACTTCAACCGCCCACATCGCTCATGACAAACACGACAACCGCACAACTGCAGCATCCCTACAGTGTGGCTCCAGTGGATCTCAAACAATCTCAAACAGACAGACATCGGCTGCCAGCCGCCTGTCGCGACTGCGAAGAGCGGCTCCTCTCCCTCCTCCAGGCCAGGATGGTGGTCATTAATCGTGTGCCTCTCGTAGGGTGAAGTGTCGCTACGTTTGCTCAACGTTGTGCAGTGCTAGGAGACGGCGACGGATACACGAGCTCCTTCGTCCACCGGATGAAGTCATCTGTTTCGGAGTGGAAGATGGCATAGCGGTACCTGCTCTCAGCGCAAAGGACAGGAGGTAAGTCAGGTAAGTCTAGAGCTTCCTACGGCAATAGCTATTCATGCCCGCCATCCTTCGGCAATACGAGGTTGCCTCGAGCCCAGAACCCTGCCAAGCGGCTCGAAGTGCTGCTTCAAAGGGATCCTTGGACGTCGTCTGGAGGTGTATGCCAAAATGATAATGCTGAAGTCTAGTTGTAGCACTTCTCGGAGGTGCGATGTGCTCGGATCTGAAGGCCACTCCATAGATTTCAACAGCTTCTAGCTTGGGGCTACCTTCAGGTGGTACCGACATGCGCGGGTACCAGCTCTGACACCAGCAACATGCATTGGTCAAAGTATGATCGGCGCATCACGCATCCTCTCTTGGAGTGGATATGTCATCTTCGGTAGGGCACGTGGGGAGGACCGCTAGTCTGCTCGTTCATAGGCACGCCTAAGGCATCAAGCTAGGCGTTCGAGTTTCGCTTGGCTTGAGGATGTGATTCGAAGTTTCAAGGAACAATTCCACACAGAGCGAGCTTCCTCACGCTGTGCGTGGTCCACCAGCATCCCTTGCACCTGGCATGATGTCTCAAGCTGCAGACAGCTGGTTCAGTGCAGTTGCAAGACTGCCAGCACAACTGCACGCAACAGTTCGAGCTAACGCATGTGAGCTCTGAATGATGGGACATCGCTGGCGATAGGTTGATCTTCACGAAGGAGTCTGATAGTCAGAACTGGGGCACAGTGTGCCTGCGAAGCACCACAGCCATCCAGACTAGCTCTGCTAGGCACTTTCAATCAAAAGGTACTACGCCTGTGCGCAGCTCGCTGTTATGCCCAGTCCTACGTAACATGGGCACCGGATACCCTACTAAACGCCTCTAGGACCTTCAACTCGCAAAGCCTCCTCGGCCCCCGAATGAACTGAGTTAGACAGCTGCTGAAACGAGGCCATCCGGGTATCCAGCAGCAAAGCAACTGGGGCCGCGGGCTGCTCCACGCGACTCAAAGGCACAGCCGAGCCCAAATCCCAGCTGCCGAGCTCCGTGCCTCCGCTGAACAGCAAAAGGGCCGTGCCAGGCCAGGCTTGCTGGTGTGCTGGGTGAGAACTGTTCCTATTTTTCAAGAATTAAAGCACATCGATGACTCACTTCTCCGGTGCATTCATGGGGCTCACGCGGAGGTAGACTTCGAAGGGACGTTCAACATCAGGGTTTCAGATGGAATCTAGTCTTAGAGCGCTCGTTTGAAGGTAGGCCCAGGCGCAGCTGCCCAAGACTCGAACACTTTCATGCGTTCCAACCTAGGCAAAGCCAGGGCAGCTCCACGTATCCTGCATGCAAGTCCTCATCTCGTCACTGTCAAAACTGACGGTGAATGCAGGATCTGAATTGTTCACCCTTCAGCATCCAGAACATCGACAGAATCGTCTCTGCTCTGCAGCCTGCTTCACGCCATTGGATGCACAGCCGAGGGGCTGGTGCGGCATCCCAGAATCGGAAGAATACTCGCGTTCTCGCCTGGGAAAAGCGGTCTCGGTCCTACGCATTGCTGATCAGTCCGTCATCAGCTGAAGCACAACTGGGATTTGTCACTGTACACATGTCGCGCCAACTGTTTGCGTGCAAGCTGCTGCAGGTGGCGCCGCTTGGCCCCCCGCCATCGGACTCGAATTGAAACCGAAAGGCCTATACCTTGCTTGCGGTACTGTCGTCCTGAACGGTAGTGCTGGATTCAGCTAAATTGCCGATGGATACGTCTTACAAGCTAAATGAATCTGAGCGATGCCTGTCCTGATGGTCGCATGTTCAAAAAGTCGGAAGGATGGCATCTTGGATGAATTCGTCTCGTCATCGGCTAAGCGCCGTCTTTGAGCTCTCATTTCCACATGCAGGCAAGAGCAAGGCTTAGTGGCAGCCGCAAGCATACTTGGCCACATCTAATGTCAGGAGAACTGTCTGTCTGAAAAAGAACCGTTAGAAATTGCCTGGACAGAAGCCTGCTATAGACTCGCCCCTTCTTTCCACCAAAGTGCCTTCCTGAGAATCCAGCCTGTCCAGAGGTGCGAGGTTTCGCAGCCTCAGCGAACAGTGGATGTGGCGGTCGGAAAGCCGTGAAACGGGGAAGCCGCAGTCCTTACATCTCAACATTCCGGCGACCTGCTGTCTTACCGAGCCCACAAATTGAATCATCACAAGCCATTGCAATTGAATGCCATTGAACTTCAGTATCCAGAATGTCCAAACACAATACAACACACACACACACAGACAATGCCATGCAATACACTGCCCCACACTACACTGCGCCACACCACACTACACTCACTACAATAGAAGACAAGACAATACAGGTTGGCCGATGGCGAGTTTCCGTTGCCCTTCATGCATTAGATGCTCGGCCTGCACGCCCACGCTACATGTGGTAACCCAATGCTGGAGCCTATGCCACCCTGGTCTAAGGGCTGTGTATGGTCAAGCGAAGGCAAGGCCGCTTCAGGGAAGGGAACTTCTGAACTCAGCCAGGGTACGCCTCCTCATGGTCCTCCCTCGTCGCAGGCAATGTGAGACGGCTCGTCAGGGCCTCCATCTCTTCCCGGTACAGAATTCTGATGGGCCTGATAGTCTGGTAGCATAGCCGTGGGCACAGTTCTGCATTAGCAAGCCTCGACTTCTGCGGGTGGCGGGAGCATGGGCTCCTGCCAGATGCTCGAGTGCTTCGGCTGGCCAATAATGACATATTATCATACTATCCACCTCTGGCCGAAGAAGGACCGGTTTGCCCCACAGAGGGAACGTGTGTCAGTATGCAAATCCCAAGATGTTCACACGGACGCCTGACTCCACACTCTGGCATCACAACACCGAAGCGACCCCTGTTGCGGCTCCTGTGCTCTCGGCCTTAGCTTCGAGATGCTACAGCGCACCGAACATCGGTTCAGCGTTAGGAATGCTCAGTATGGCCCCGATCGCAACCCTCTATATGAGCCGCGCGGACAATGTGCCTTCATGGCACTGTTGACACCACTGCGACTCTTGACCACATCAAGGCTCTGGGACTGCTGTGACGGTGCACCGCTCTGCCGAGACTCAAGGTCCCGGCCCCGGCTGGCTGCCTTTGATTGGCTTCAACCTGCGAGTGGAGTGGCGAGGCGATTTTCTTGCAGAAGTCCTTAGAATGCACGCGCCCATGGCAATGCCAAGCGCCGCACCCGAGCGATGTGCAAAGCGTTGGCGTTGCAAGTGGACTGCCAAGCAAAGGAGCTCTGAAAGAGTTTCAGAGTCCAAAATATCAGACTTCAAAAGAGGCCACGAAAGCTAGGGCAACAAAACGGAACCAGAGTCGATAGAGCTTGGGCAGCGTGGATGCAAGCATGTATGTAACTAGTGCCATGAAGCGTAAGCCTGCAATCTGACGGCATTATTCCGCTTTACGCTGGCCCGCATACAGATACACCCTTGTGGTATCGCAGTGCCTTGACCGACCTCATTGCACGTCGGAGTGTCCCGGCGTAAGCAATAACTCGGGCATCGACGAGCAGCTGCGGTTGGTCTTGGTGGCAGCTTAGCTAGTAACTGAGGGGTCAGACATGAAACCTGCTACGTAGACGCACTCGCCCACGTAAGCACACAACGCAAGTTGCCATGTTGCTTAAACAGATGGACCATGATGGACCTTGAGGTGGGGGGGACCCTCCTGATTGGCTATATATCAATCAACGTTTGCGTGGCGGCGCGGGCCTCCCCACCACTCCCCTCCCCCCCGTTTAACTACCCTCCCCCTTTACCGTAAGAATTGTGCACGGACCAGATAAGGTCCTGCACGCACTTTTGGCCTAGCAGAGATAGCTTTCGTGATTGAGACGTCAACAACGGAACGCGCCCTGCTTTTCAACCCGAACCTGCGCTTCTGGCGACCTCCATAGGACAATACCTGGGATGCAGCACAGCACAGGCGGAGAGTCGAGACTGCTAGGCCTCGTTCCGTCAGAGCGCGAGATGACATTCACATGCCCATGGCCCATATGGCCGCTGACATGATCGACGAAAACGTTCGGAGTCTCACAGCACGTCATGTTGGGGATGCGGCGTCTCCGCACGGCGAAGGTTTCGGCCTTGGTAGCCCCGTCAGTGGAAGTCCAGAAATTCTACGTAGCCGGCGATCCGGCCTAGCGTGCTTTGAACACTTTAGGTGGATGGCTCGTGACTTCGCAAGCTCCGCAGTACAGTGTCTATTGCGAGCCATCGTTGAAGGATTGAGCTCCGAAGCAACAGAACCCTCCCGAACCGAGAAATCCCCACGCGTGAAAGCAGCTTCGGGCACCTGGCACAGTTTCTGCTTTTCTGCCCGCGCTTACCGGTCGGCCCTGCGCGAGGCTTTTTCAGTTCTTACGCCCAAGCCTGCGATGAAAGCCAACCCGTCTGCCTCGTTGCCCCTACAGGTTCCGTTGCTGGGGCTTACAGGGAACGACACTCACGTTTTGGCATGCTCCTTTCTGCCACCGGCATGAACATTCGGTCTTCATGCAGGCGAGCTTTCTCCGCAGCGCCTTTCTTTGTCATGATGTGAAGCATGGCTTTCAGTCTGTCCCTGCAGGAAGAGTGGCGGAACACCTGACAGCAGGCGAAAGCCATAAGTTGACATCTTATAGACTTAGCTTTGCCAAACCAGACGCCTGCATGCGTTCAGAACTTTGGTCTCTAGAAGGCATGAATAGGCTAGCGGAAACCTCTACAGAGGGCCATGCTCTGGACAGCAGCGGTCAGCCATGTCCATCATAACCTCTTGCCAATCGCCAAGTGAAACAACAAACACATCCTTGCACATACCCTCGCCTGTACAATCAAGCTTGCTGGAAGTACGGCAACGGAGGAGCCGTGCAGGGCTCTTGAGAGTTCAGGAACATCCTGGTCTAGCATTCCCAAGCACGAGCAACTTTTCGGGGGCCCGCTTACACGCTGGAAAGGTCAGGAATTCAAGACGAAGAAACTGCACATGACTGCAGGAAGTCATGAGGCAGCTTGTAGCAGGTACCTGCAGAGCTTCCTGGGAATGCTGGCCTCTTCCCACTGCTTCTACATGACATGAGTCATCCTGGGAGGCACAGCACTTTGAAGCTCCACCACCATTGCTACGAACGTGAAGGGCTCTTGCCATGGATCAGAGTTTGGATCAAGCGCAAGGCCCCTCCAATGCTTCTGCTGCACTTCTTGCTACGCCGCTGCGCTGAAGGCCAAGCTCTCACGCCATTCCAAGGCTGG